TCTTCAGCTCAAGGCTAGCACTCTACCTCTTGAGCCACAATGCCACTTCCGGCTTTTTTTTTTTCTTTTTGCTTATGTGGTGCTGGGGAATTGAACCCAGGGCCTCATGCATGCAAGGCAAGCGCTCTACCACTGAGCCACCTTCCCAGCCCCTAGAAAATCTTTTACAAGAAGGAAGCATGTACTTAAGTAAGAAAGTTATGGAAAAACATAAAGGGACAAATGTCACTGGGTTGTATTAAAGAGAATGATAAACCAGGCACTGATGGCTCACACCTCTAATCCTAGCTACTCAGCAGGCTGAGATCTGAGGATTTGGGGTCAAAATCAGCCTGCTCAAGAAAGTCTGTGGGACTCTTATCTCCAATTAAGCACAAGAAAACAAGAAGCAGGCACTGTGGCTCAATTTGTAGAGCACTATTTTTGAGCTGAAGAGCACAGGGACAGTGCCCAATCCCAGAGTTCAAGCCCTAAGACAGACCAAAAATTAAAGAGAATGACAGACAGAAAGTAAATTATAAAGAGCTAGCTTCTGTACCTTCCATAGAATGGGTACATTTGAAAAGTTTTAAAGTGATAAGCAACTGCTGATAGAAGTAATGTTTTCAGTTAGTCATGTGTCTTGAATGTAGATTGAAACTAAGAAATTGTGTATTTGTCAAAGTAAATGATTGGCAGACTAGTTAGCAATCCTCTACCCAGCGGCAAGAAAATGATAAGAAATATACTCATTACCTTGCTCATGTAAGTGTAACCACTCTGTACAGTATGTTCACAATAAAAAAACTTATTAAAAATGCATTCATTATACAAATAATCATATACAAGTTTCCAAAGCACTGAGGAACTCGGTGGGCATATAGTGCTGACAAAATACAAAAATTCTGTTTTTCAGTTTTAGATTCTCTTGATACACACAAATTAATAAGTAGATAATAAAGTGCCTAGCAGTGGCAAGTGACAAGAAATGTCTGAGAGTGCTGTGATCACTTCATTTTCTTTAGGTTACTGGTGAGAGCTTCTAAAAGGTCACAGCTGAGCAAGCAGCTAAATGAAAGAGTCATCAGGACACCAAGAAAGAGGTAGTCCATGGGGAAAGAATACAAAGCAAAGACAGAGAGCGTCAGAAAACAGTAGTTAACACAAGAACTGAAAATGACCTTCGGCAGTGGGATGTTGGAGTTTGGTGAAGAAAAGCATACAAAAATACAGGCAGAGATCAAATCAAATGTGATAGGAAGTGATCTACTGGCTTTTTGGGTTGTTTTTTGAAGGCTACTGACACCAACCCTTATAATTGATAGAAAATTCATTGCATCAGCTTGCTTAAACTATTATAAAACACAATGCCATACAAGATCAGATGGTCTAGGAAGCTTCAAAAATTAAAAAGAAAACAATAATGGATGATTGGCAAAATTTCAGACAGTGAAAAATAAAGTTTAAATTTATCTATTGTTTTATTTTTAAATTACATTTATTATACTTTAAAACTTTCATCAAACCAACAAAATTAATAAAGCTTTCATCATCATCTGAGGTATTAAACCATTGTGCTAAAATTATTAGTGTATTATCATGCTCATGTAAATCAAAAGCAAACTAGCAGTAGGTAAATTTGGCAAGGCTTAACATGGTAGATAAATGATAAGCCAATAATACACTGAAATTAATGAAGACATTTAATTGGGTACAAATTGATATTTCATTACAACATATATATTATAAAGAGTCATGATGTTAAGCAAGTTTCTAGAATTAGATGACAGTAGTAGAATTTCTCAACAGTAAAATATTAACTGTATATTCTAATTACATCTTCAGGTTGAGGATGTAGTTTAGTTTTTGAGTGCTTATCTAGTATGCTCAAGATCCTAAGTTCAATACCTCATCCAACAAATACATAAAAATATAACAATATATACCCATTTGCCAGTATATACAGATTTGTTGTTTCCCTGCCTATAAAACCGATGTGCCGCCTAGAACAGCGGGCAGCTACATTATTCTGCTAAAGTGGAGGAGTTTACTTAAAAATACGCTGCTTGTGAGAGGAATGAAAGTTCTATAGACATTGGAAAACTGTCAAAGCTACAGTAATCTAGCAAGCAATGTCATATATTTCACAATTATAACATTATATAAAAGAGCCACATATCCAGCATGCATGAAAAATATAAATCTGTACTTTTGAAAGACGTTTGGAGCTTCAGCAAAGTTCAAACCACTCTGCCCAACTTGACAAAGTTTCATATGCAACAATAGGCCCTTATTTCAACTCCTCAACCATGGCTCTCTATGTTGAACTGGACACCTGGTAAACAGAGTTCTGTAGTGGGGATACTGCTGTAATCCAGGCAAAAGATGGTACCATCACTGTGGTTTATCTTTGGTTCCTAAACCTGCAAATCAAGACTGCAGCCTTCAAGCTGTTTCAACAGCACTGAATTTGTCCAATCCCAATTTGAAAATGCCAACAAAAAATAAAATACCAGAGGTGATACACTTGCATTTGTATAAAGCTGATAAGTTATTCCTACTAGCTTAGCCCATAAAACAACTATGTGTTTAAAAAATTACTTTCAAAATTAAGCTAATCTACCTGCCTATATAAGTTTCTTAGGTATTCCCCCTAAAGTGTCATCGATAGAGTGACTTAAACAATAGAAATGTGTTGTCCTACACATACCAGGGTCCAGGGGCCAATTTCTTCTGATGTGTTTCTCTTTTATAAAGCATGGTCCCTGAAATACTCAGCACACAGCAATGCCATTTTTTTCCCTTATTTGGTATACTGTATTGCAAGTATAAGAAGATAATCAAGGAAAACATTATGTGAGTAAAATGGTATGAGGGGAAAAAACATGAAATGAAATAGGAAATTCTGGAGAATGATATAGGGAATTTCATAGAACAATGTAGAAAATTCTCATGACAGAAACATTACAAGGCCTGATTTGATGCAAATCTTTCATGCAAGTAGATATACATATGCAATATCCTTGCTGGATAAGAGGTCTGGACTTTGTTATATGTGTTAAGCAGAATTGCTTACGGTTTATGTGCAAGAAGGTACTTCCAGAAGTGTGCTTCCAGTCAATTAATCTGTCAGAAATTTATAGTTTTATGACCACCTGCTAAATATAAATCTCATTAATGGTAGAAACTCTTCATACCAAATGCACTTCTAGGCACACCCAGGGCTTAGATAAATTCTTGTCTTGCTAAAGAATGAAGTCAAGTGTGTCAGGTTTAGTGTTTTCACTCTGACATTGTGAGGGTCATCATTATATTTCTCCTACAGACTATCTACTGGCTTTGTTTTCACAAACAGAAAAAAGGTTCCTACACATTAAGGCTCTTCTTTTGAGATATAGTAATGTTATTTCCTGCAACTATAAAGTAAGAGTGCTAAAAAACTAAGTATAATATATAGAGAAATATTCAGGAGAAATATCCACTGTGTATCTTTGGTTTGTTGTAATTGTATATCCACACAATGGCACATTCTCTACCTGCAAAGCATATCTATACTAATGATAAAAGATAGTGCTCATAATGCAAACCAGAATTCCTGATATCCTTACATTTTCTACTATGCAGAGTCCTCAATTTTGCATATTTCTCCCTCAGACTTTCAAATTATTCATAAAAGGCTGATTCAATATATAATCAACATGTAATATAAAGTTGAAGATTCACAGTATTCTCTTAGATGTATTGTAATTTGAATATTCTCTTGATCACTTGATTCATCTTGATTATTTCCTTCATACTTCACAGACACAATCCATCTCCGAGTGCTTGAGTCTTCCCCTGTTGGCACAGCTGTTGGAAGTGTGAAAGCCACGGATGCTGACATTGGAAAAAATGCTGAAGTAGAATACCGGATTATTGATGGTGATGGGACGGATATGTTTGACATTATAACTGAGAAGGAAACACAGGAAGGCATTATAACTGTAAAAAAGGTGCATAGCTGCTGAATAAATAAGCATCCGTGTGTTTCCAGAGTAGAGATTTCATTATAAATGGTTCACTCACACATTATTCATTGAAAGGAACATCACAACCATGTTCAAATGTAATTTATATTATGCACATGTAAAAAGGATAGGAAACCAGATGCAAGCATTTGATTCTATGATTGTGTTGATTGAAACATGAAACCTGAGATTAAAAAATAAGAAGGAAGTTAATATGTGTTTAATTATATTTTGTGGCATATTCATAGAAACCCACTAAGATAGCGTTGGTTTCTTGAAAACAATTGTTGATATCTAATAATGGCACTAGATCTTCACAGTTGGAGGAATAAAAAATAGCACACCAGCCGGGTGTATGAGGCAATAATTAGAGTTGCTAATGAAAGGAGACAGGATGGAACCTAATTTAATTGTTCACATTTTCCCTTCTGCTTCTATAAATTAAAATTTTCTGCTAGCATATGTTCAGTGATAAAATTTAAAGGTAATCAATTTTTATTGTAGAGTCAGTGCCATCGGTAGGAGAAAAAAAAGACACATTAAAATTAGATCCTAATGCAATGCCTAGCAAAACGTACTCACTGAGGCACTGGTTTAACAGTCCCACTCACCAGATGCTGGTGGCTCAGGCCTGTAATCCTAACTACTTAGGAAGCTGACATCTAAGCATGGTTGTACAAAGCCTACCCAGGCAGAAAAATATCTGGGACTTTTGTTGCCGGTTAACCAGCAAGAATCCAGAAATGAAGATGTGGTAGAGATCTAATCTTGAACAAAAGAAGCAAGTGAAATCATGAGAGTCTCCTGATTTCAAGCCCCAATACTCCTGTTTCTGTCTTTGTCTCTGTCTGTCTCTCTGTCTCTTTCTCTTTGTCTCAGTCTCTGTCTATCTCTGTCTCTGTTTCTCTCTGCCTCTGCTTCTCTCTTTCTCTTTCTCTCTCTCTCTCTCTCACACACACAGACACACACACACACTCATCAAACAGAATAGGATCACTGTCTGGAGTGTGGTGTCACAGTGTAAGGTATAAGGTATAGTGTTCTTAAAGGGCAAGTCACCAACAAAGGGCAAAGCAGCACTGTCATTAAAATGTAGTTGCACTACACATAGTATATTGTGTTCTCAGAATAAAAAAGAGATGATTGAGGAATCTGAAATAACAATGTTAATGAACATAACTTTTATACTGAATGGAGGGAGAGAGACTTGATCACAAACTAGTGACAATTAAATTTTATCAACGATGTTTTCTTTCCCAAATTCCCAAATCATTTTTCTCATTGCATGAGACTTTCTATTTTAAATGGTTTTTATAACTGTTGAAAATTTCATATTAGTCTTCAAAATTTCAAAAATGTGTATATTCAGATCAGTACATTGAATGGTACTATCATAACATATTATTAATATTGAAGACTGAAAGAAATGATTAGACTTTGGCTTAGGAAAATTTACTCATATGTAATACCTTAAGGTAAATGTACACAAACACAAATACATCACCTACCAGCCAATTTTTGTAAGTAGTCCACCTTACAAGTTATACTAGCATCCCAAATTTTTCCAAGAAAATCCCATAGCCCTTTATTTCTAAGATCTTCATAGTGAATACAAAAAATTACAATATACAATTCAGATTAACAAGCAAATTTATTTATTAAACATGAGTTGTAATAGGAATGGAGTGCATTATCCAATTCCTCTCAGTCTAATTAGATGACTTATGTCTTTATACAGCCGCTGGACTACGAAAGTCGTCGACTTTACACTCTGAAGATTGAAGCAGAAAACACCCATGTGGATCCACGTTTTTATTACCTTGGACCATTCAAGGACACTACAATTGTGAAAATCTCAATAGAAGATGTGGATGAACCTCCTGTTTTCAGTAGATCATCCTATTTGTTTGAGGTTCATGAAGATATCGACGTGGGCACAATCATTGGAACTGTAATGGCACGGGACCCAGACTCTACTTCCAGCCCCATTAGGTAAGATATTCACATGTACATAAATGTACATCTTAAATAGTACATAAATTAGGACATTTTGTTTGATTTTTTAATCCAGCAAAGGATATGAGTTTCTCCATAAGTTTTATATAAATTTGGTGACGCTAACGCTTAAGGTAAAATTTTTCTGAATCTTTTGATGCAGGAATGTATAAGACACATACAATACTTGTTCTTGCGTCCTTTGGGCTGAAACCTAGTTTGTGTCATCTACTTGCCTCCCTGAAGTGTTTGCTACTCTCACTAGTACAGTGCAAGGACACTCGGTCAGCTGTGCCTTTAAAGTACAATCAAATCTCTGTATCTGTGCCTGTAGGTTATTAAATATTTGAAGTTCAGAGAAATTTATACCACTGAAACAGGACACAATTCCAATGCAATAACCAACTTTCTTTATGATTTTCGATCTTCCATTTATGTTCTAACCATCACAGAAAGTTGATTTTTGTTTTAGTCTTTGTATTGTTTGGTTGTTGATTTATTTTTAGCTATTGCAAAAATTATCAGAATATTCCAGGAAGATAAAAATCACTCCAGCATTTTATTATATTTATATGATGATATAAAAATATACTATCATAGATACATAAAAACAAGAATTACTTAATGTTATCCTGTCTTTGATAAACCCTATATTAGGTATCAAAATGATATATAATACAATGCCTGCAATCAATGATTTTTTCAGTTTTTTAAGAAAATATAGATTTTACTTGATACAGGTATATAAAATTTTCTTATCTTAAAACACGCTATTTTAAAAAAAGATCTTTAGTGAAAAATTATACATTTTATAATGATGTATGTGGTTAAGAAATTAATGATATTTGGAATATCATAAGTGAGGCTATGCATCACTATACATTGATAACCTACTACTTTGTTCAGAAATTTCTCATTAAATCCCAGCTATTGATTTTGAACTTTTGCATAGGTACTTGTAGTGATTCTTCATCAGAACCCTAATTAACAAAGCAAAAAAGAAACTCATTTATTAATTTTACTATAGGAAGATGCATACTATTTTGTGACCAGATACATCTTGACAGAACAATAGGCAATGATTTAAATAACAAAGACAATTATTTGCAAGATGAGCTGGAAACTGCTTATATACATTGAAAAGGCTGAGTTGTGTGTCTTATATTCTGATGAAATAATCTGCCTTCTAGATCAGTGCTTTGCTGTTTCCTCTAGTTATTAGTAATGTATCTGTCTTTCCATTTTACTGTTTTCTCCTGTAAAACATCAGTACTACTCTCTTTGCCTTCTCTGTTCAGATTTTCCTTAGATCGCCACACTGACCTGGACAGGATTTTTAACATACATTCTGGAAATGGATCACTTTATACATCAAAACCACTTGACCGTGAGCTATCTCAGTGGCACAACCTGACTGTTATTGCCGCAGAAATCAGTAAGATGGATTATATCTATCTATGCATATATCTATTATAGAGTTATATGATTATATTTGTGCTTATTTTTTATGTATTTTTAACAGACTTTAAGTCTTACATAAGAGTAATTTACAGTCGTTTTCCATACAAATTATACTTTCTTCTTTATTTTTTTTTTGGTGGGGAGGTTGGTCGTGGGGCTTGAACTCTGGGCTTGGGCGTTGTCCCTGCGCTCTTCAGCTCAAGGTGAGCGCTCTACCGCTTGAGCCACAGCGCCACTTCCGGTTCTCTAGTAGCTTATTGGAGATAAGAGTCTCACGGACTTTCCTTGCCGGGGCTGGCTTTGAACTGTGATCCTCAGATCTCAGCCTCCTGAGTAGCTAGGATTACAGGCATGAGCCACCGGCACCAGGCTACAAATTATACTTTCTATTTAAAATTTTAAATGCTTCTCAAACATCTATGCGTTTAAAAAATATTTCCTTTATACCCCCAGTGATAGATTTATGTATTGTTAGCGCTGCTGTTTTGGGGGTTTTTATTCGGACTGAGAATTAAATTATCTTCTCCTGAATATTGACAGTTTTATTATCTTCATAGTATAGGAGGTACCAACCAAATAAAGGTTTTACATCCTCATTTTAAGAAGAATGTCAACATATCCTTAAAAATTATTTTAGCTCAAAATAATCCTTCTACCCATACAACATAGTTAAATATGGCTTTTTCTGCCACCCATCATTCTACATAAATCCACATTTGCTATCAACTAACAAAAACAGCTCACCTTGGGTTCTAAAGATGATTTTGTGTATCAAGTAGAATCTGCAAGAAATACTGGGTATAAAAATTACTAAATCTTGGCAATCATGTAAGTATAGCTCTTATGTTGTCTTTTAAAGATGAGGAAATCACAGTATAGGTAGGTAATACTAACATTTATTGTTGAATGCTAGATATCCTTTTCAGAGTTACAAACTTAGTTTTCATCTTTTTCATTTTATTAACATCATTTAAATAAGAAAAGACAAAGACTTTAGAAATGCGTAACTTCCCCAAAGTTAAAATGGCTGAAGTAGTACACTAGGACTTTAAGCTCATAATTCAATTTCCAAATCTACACATGATTTACATATTTTAACCAACTGTAGGGTGCTAGGAAGGTGGATTAGTGGGAGAGCGCTTGCCTTGCATGCATGAGGCCCTGTGTTCGATTCCTCAGCACCACATAAGCAAAAAGAAAAAAGCTGGAAGTGGCGCTGTGGCTCAAGTGGTAGAGCGCTAGCCTTGAGCTGAAGAGCTGAGGGACAGCGCCCAGGCCCAGAGTTCAGGTCCCACGACCGGACCCAGAAAAAAACAAAAACAAAAAAAAACCCAACTGTAAATGGCAGCCCAGGATAGAAATTCTGTTTTGATATTATTATTTGCGTTGTTTTTGTTGTTGTTGTTACTGCTGTTGTTATTGACAGTTTCTGGGGTTTTAATTCAGGCCCTCTTTTTGTTATAGTTGTTTATTATATTATCATCCTGATCCCTAAATCTACTTTAGTTGCAAAATATTTTGTCTGCACAGGATGGTATGCTTCATTTGTTGCATATACTGTCAAATTAACATGTGAAATAATGTTACTTTTTTAAGGATTGTAAAATGGAACCCTTTTTGGACTCCACAAAGAGACCTAGTCAAAAAGAAAAAAAAATGTTGATAAAACTAAAAACCATCTCTCCAAGGCACGTACAACAATTTAAAATTCTGTGATGGCAACAGCCAAGCCTTAAGTCAAGCTAGTTTTCCTTTAAGTATTAGTATCTGAGAATCAGGTGGAATAACAAACTCTTGCACATGCAAAATTCTTGAGTGTTTGATTCCATAATGAATATCTATGGAACGGAGCAACTCAGACTGGTTTTTGTTTTGTTTTGTTTATAAAGAAGCATTCATTAAGGATCGAGTTCTGTTGACAACTTAAACTCATAAATTCCATATTGGAAGTACTAAGCTAACTCACCTAATGCTGAAGATCATGGTATCTAAGTAACTACACAAGATTTAGACCAAGTAATAATCCTATGTGTCTCAGAGACATTAACAAATCTAGGCTGCTCATTGGCAATCTATTCAACATGTCAAGATAAAACAATTCATTTATCTTTCTCACTTCATTTATGTTCTTTTATATAGGTTAATCTGAACCTATCCAGTCTTCTCATATGGGGATATAAATAGCAGTGTCTTTTAAGTCTAACTGCTAATTTAACTTTTCTTTTTCCCTAAAAAGGAAAGCTGTTATTTATTTGTGTCTTGGTCCAAGAAGATTCAATCTGGACATTCCAGATTGTACATTCTGCTCAATTCAAGATTCTTATTCAAGCCCACTGAGCTGGGAATTGCATTTTCCATTTCAGATACTTTGAAAAATTTTAACTGCTAAAGCTAGTTGAAGTAATTATGATTCTGTAAAAAGCTAAGCCAATTACTTATTCTTAAGAACTAAACCTATTTTTTGCCCTTAAATAAAATCAGCCTTTGGAACAACTGCTGGAAATGCCTACCTGCCAAAGCAAGAGCAGTCAGGGTCCCATTATGCTGTTCTGGGATTAAATGCAATGTGGGGGGAGGGAAACGGCCTATACAGAGTTGCTTTAACCAGACTTTAAACACTGGCTTTATGGCTAATGTGTCACACACAGGAAGGCTTGAACAGGACAGAATGACTTGTAAATGTACTCCTTACCAATGTGTTTCCAAGCCCTGCCTCTAACAGTTTAATTCTGCGTGCTTCACTAATACATCACCTCATGTGGCAAGTAATGTCTCCTGCAGATAATTATTTAGCACGTTATACCATGCCATAATCTTCTTTTCCTTCTTTAAAATATATTTAACGGCCATGTGGAGGTGTTTAAAATAAAATCTAAAATTAAGGTCACAACTAGAGACTTAATAAGAAATTGGGGATTTTAGAAACTATTATTCTAAAACAACAACAACACAAACAGAGTTCCTTTAACTCAATCTTAGGGTGCACATCCATTGGAGTGCATGCAGGAACACCTTCATGAATAAAGAACTAAATATGCCCTAAATATGCACAAATGTCCATCCTTTGATGTTCTGGGCTTTCAAGAAAATGGTTGAAGCTTTTCTCTGTTTGGAGGTAGAGGAAACCCTGTGGATTCATAGCCAGGGTCTTACTTTAGGACATACATTGTAAGAGCCTTTATTACAGTCATATTATTGCTACAGTATGATTTCCGTGAAGGATCTGAGGGAGACTGGGGTGGCAAATATAAGCCAGCTGCTATTCAGTATGATTCTTCCACAGAATGCTTTATATTTTTATTGATGCATAAGCTGCCACATATGTCAAGAAGCATAAATAAATAAAGATTAGTGTAAGCACTGTGTTTAAATAGGTGTCTCCAAGTCTGCTGTTTTTACAAAGTGCCCCTATCCCTGTGGATATAGCTTTGGATTTGAAGTGCCTGCAGTTATTTGGAAAGAGTATCTTCAGTATTGGGTCAAAGAAAGTCCTGACAATGCAGTTTTTAACACAGGAAACTATTCTGCTCCTTTGGATTTCCGTAGCATAGTTAGAAAGTGAATGGCTTCCAACTAGATGTGTTCCTTATGTTAAGACTTCGTACCAGAAATAAATATCGTGAATATGTCCACGGACTACATCACTTCTCATTATTTTCCTACTTTTTTTTCCCATAGAAAGTAGTAACAAGGTAGTGATGACTCCAGATAGCCCTATGGATCTTAACAGCTGATCTGTAAATACGGAGGGTGGGAAGAGAATGACATTTTTCTTTCTCCTTCCTCACTCTCTGTCCTCACAGTGTACCCACATTCAGATCCATGTGCATTGACACTTTTTAATGTGTAAATAGTTTATATGGATAAAAATAGCCTTAGTTCTTGAGTAATAACAGGGGAAATGGTAGTGCTATTAAAGATGATGTTAATAGAGATCAACACCCTGAATTACTCATCATCAATGCTTACTTTGTAAGAACTTTTCATGCCTGAACTCTGCTAGTTTTCCATATAACTGAGGGGTTAGCAGTTTTACTTTGATGCATATTGAGTATACTGAGTCACTGGATTGTATTCTAGGGTAATGTACTCACCAAAACCACAATGAGTGAGTGACAGGCTTGTGGATCAAAGCAGCTCAGTTTCCCTCCAGGGCCTGAACTCTGAACCACCTGGGAAACTCACAGGTGGAGAACTTGCAGCTCTAGAGTGAAACACATGAAATTAGAGTTTGTCAATTAGCTTCGTGTCAGTTAACAAGACATGAGTAGATATAAAAGGATGTTGAAGAAAGAATGTATTTATTAGTCTCCTCTTCAAGACAGGAAGGGAAAGACAATATATTCTGCATGGATTTAGAATTCTGTTTGCCATATTTGGACTGTTGCAATCTTGTAAAATGTCTGCCAAGAAATCAGTTCTTACATATTATTTTTAAAAGTATTGGCTTCATTAATTTACTAAAAATTCAGTTGAATGGGGGGATAACGTACATCTTATTGAGAATTAAAGCTTTTACAATTGTATTTAAAATTGTGTAGGAGATAGTGCCCTAATTCCTTAATCCTTAATTTATTTTAAACAATTTAAAACATTGTAATTTTTTTTAGTCAGTCATGGGGCTTGAACTCTGGGCCTGGGTGCTGTTCCTCAGCTATTCAGTTCAAGGTGCATGCTCTACCACTTGAGCTACTTCGTTTTCTGAGTGGTTTATTGGATATAAGAGTCTCATGGCCTTTTGTGCCCGGGCTGGCTTTGAAAGGCGATCCTCAGATCTCAGCCTCCTAAGTAGCTAGATTACAGGCATGAACCACCAGTACCTGGCTAACATTGTAAAATTTAAATGAAAGAATGGTATAGAAGGAAAGTACAGACATACAAATTCAATTATTCTTTTTAAAAGATGTTGAGAAATAGCAGTAGTAATCATATGCCCAATAATAACTGTCTTCAGGACTTCTTAATCAGATGATACAATATATTTCTCTATTATATTTGCCCATTGTTTAGGAGAAGAAAGACATACTTATTTGTGAGCATTTCCTATCTCAAGATGCCCCTATATATTAAATGTAGTGAACAAAAAAATCTTTTCTTAATGTTTTTCCTTCCTCTTTTTCTAGATAATCCCAAAGAGACTACTCGCGTGGCTGTTTTTGTTAGGATTTTAGATGTTAATGACAACGCCCCACAATTTGCTGTGTTCTATGACACTTTTGTATGTGAAAATGCCAGACCTGGACAGGTAAGCATCCAGTACATTGAAAACATGGGGCTATTTTTGCTTTGTATCAAGTACTTTCGAATCTTGAGAAGAATGAATGTGAATGAATAAGGAAAGCCTCATGTATATGTCTAATGGTGTTTTAAAAATTGAAAAGATTTCAATACTATCATTTCAGTTTCAGGTTGCCTTTGTAAAGTTCGAATGCAAAGATAAAATTTTATTCCTGCTACAAAAGAGGTGGAGAAACAATTCTAAATTATAAAACTTTCAAAAATAAGAACAAAAACCAGCTCCTGATGCACCATTTTATATATATATATATATATATATATATATATATTATATATTGATAACTGCTAATATAATAGAAAGTAAGGGCTCATAGGAACCCAAGGACACATGCAGGATACCATTGACGTATTCAAATAATATATGAATATATGCAAATATCTTTTGAAATGGGACAGCAGAGTGTGCTCTTTATCGACTTCTACATGCCTTTCATCATTATAGCCACACATAAAGTGCCTAATGACTCAGTTCTAGTTCTTTAAAATATTCTTTCTACACTAGCTTTGTTTGTAATTATTTAAATCTTTCCCTCAGTGGGCTCATTTTGTTGTTTGAAAATCTCCAGCATGTATGGCTGAAGGAAATGTTCTTAATTGGTTTGAGTGCTATCTTCACAGAAGGAAGCTGCATGTTATAAATAATAATTGGGAATTGACTGGGTTTTATTAAAGAAGGAAAGCAATTGAGAAACTGAATTGTGCTTTGACATCATTTGATGCTTTTGTAAACATCAATGTCAGTGTTATATTTTATGCAAATTATATTATGCAATAGCTCAAATTCTTCCTTTTGAGCATTCTAATAAGATTTCAATAGCCTATTGTTTGAAATGGTAAAATTGCTGCAATTGAATTCCTTCTTTTCCACTTCAAAGTGTAATGGAAATACTTAATTTGGGATATGAAAATGACTTAGCTGCTTCTACCTTTCTTCTTAATGAAACCAAGTCTACTCTACAAAAATGATTCCAAATAGTCCTTTCACTAGTATCTCAGTGTGATATCAGTTAAAAGTCTTTCCTCTAAGAGATAAATTTACCACTTTGCTACTTCTGCATGCATTCCTCCCTCTATGATTATTCAGTTTTGATTTTCTTTTTAGAACATTCCAGTCATCAATATAAAATGTATTAAAATGTATTAAACCAATATTTAAAAAATACAAAATAGATCATTTTATGCCTTTCTTCCTTGTAACTAGCTCAGCAATGTCTTTAGACTCTCTGGACAAGGCAAACATTCAAAATAAGGGTGAAATTAATTTAAAAATAGCTTCTCTTGAACAAGTTGACAGGGAAATATTGGTTGCATGGTCATCTGTTTCCCATGTTAGTCATTTTTAATTAGACCAGTTTGTTAGATTTTGGTCTCACTGCCTAAAAAGAAAAAGTCTTACACAAGACTATTAGACAGAAATGATAAAATTTTAGGTTATGACATTTAAGCAGCCAAATATCAAGGTATTTATCTGATAAGCTTGTTCAAGGAGTCCTTCCTGAAGTTTACCTGACAGTTTTGTCTCCTCTTCTAAGTGTTTTAATTCTTAATAGAGCTCCTCATCCAAGCAGTACTCTTGCAAATTATGTGCTCCTTAAATATTACTTAGAACAATAACAAAAAGTGTGGAACAATTCTACTCTTTTAGTGCGTAGAGAAATGGAAAAGAAAGAAATAAAACAAATTACTACTGTCTCCTCCATATTCCTTGGTCTTCCTCTCACTCATTTTAAGGATAGAAGTTTTTTATTCTCTTAGAAAAGATGTCGAGTTCCACCAGTGTAATATTAAATTCCTTTTTTGTGCAGAGCACAGACTACTTTACTTCTCATCTTTTTCATCTTAGAGAGACAGGAGACCCCATTTGCTTTTCTTAGGCTCATACTTGTGGCTGATAAGAAAATATTTTAACGTATTTTTCATGACTAGGGTAATATAATAGAATTTGAATCTCAAAGAACACTTCTCAAAGGAGATATGAACTAGTAGCCTATAGGGAAACATTTCCAAACCCTTATGGATCAAAAAATACCCCTGCATATATTCCATAGGACACTGTTCAGTTATTTTTGGCACAGTCAGAAAAGGTGTTGGTTTTTACAAGAAGGGACATTTTTTTAATGTTCTTAAAGATCTTTAAGTTCTACAGAGTTGCCATTTAATCAAGCAGTGTATGAATACAATGCACCTTGATCGATGTCACTCTCTTCAACGTGCTCACCCCTCTTTGACCCACTCTTCCATTTACTTCCCTAATTTTGTGATATATATAAATAATTCTTTACTGCATTCTTCCCTACTTTTCCCCTCTGTCTTCCTATCCTTCTTTCCTTGAGCTCATCCCCCTTCTACAAGTACCCATTTCCAGGAGCTTGTTTTGTTGAGCTTTGACCTCGCATTTCTAAAAAAGAAATTGTACTACTTTAGCTTTCCATAGAGCCTATTATGTTTCAGTTAATTAATTTGTAACAACTTGCATACCACCTAAAGTGTTTTTTTAAATGTTGTCAAGGAGATAGGTAGTAATTACATTCTTGTCTAACTTGTTAGCCTTTCCCCCATTTTTTTTGTATTTTTTTATTGTGAAAATACTGTACAGAGGGGTTACAATTACATGGGCAAGATAATGAGTACATTTCTTATCAAGCATTGTTGCTTCCTCCTTTCTTCCCCCTTCCCATCCCTTCTCATACCCCTCCCACCCCACCTCACCCAATCTTTCCCCTCCCCACCAAAGTTGTAAACTTCATTTTTCAACATAAGGACTTGTACATCTCATTGTTGCAATGGGTCCAACTGTATCCCTATTGTGGTGGGGAAGGGAAAGTGTTTGCTTTTTAATATAGATTTATAGGCACATATTATCTACCACAAATGAGAGAAAATATGCAACCTCTGTTTCTCTTGAGTTTAGCTTACTTTACTTAATATATTTTTCTAATGTTTCCATTTCCCAATGAATGGTACAATATTATTATTTCTAATGGATTAGTAAAATTCCATTATATATATATATATATATTTATATCATATTTTTGACCCATTCATCCATTGAGAGGCATAGATCTTAAGTCTATATCTTGGCTATGGTGAATAGTGGTTTTACTTCAATCATGTTTGTGTTCTAATGCATAAATAATCCAAAATAGAATTTCTGTATCCTAAAGTAGTGCTATATTAATTTTATTTTTTGAAGAACCTCCATAATGGTTTTTGGAGTTGTTGAACAGGCTTACATTCCCGCCAACAGTATAGTAGTTTCCTTTTGGCCAAATTTAGGCAGTCTTTGATACTGTTTGTTTGGTTTTGTGTGTTTTGAAAATGAACCTTCCAACTAGAAACAGAAACTAATCTTCCCACAGGAAAGATAAAAAGTTATTAACCATAGTGTTTACTCCTTTTCTAATTTTAAATGTAAAAATAAAAATGCACTCATTATTTCATATTGTTTAATATTATTATCACTAAAATACTCCTTGAGAAAACAAGCTAATTATAATTTTAGTTTACCTAAGAACATAAAATATAGAAAATTTTTATTCCTTTTTCAAATGCTCAAATGGAATATTTGATACTTTCCTTTGTTTCTTAATTATTTTACTTGAACTGCATTAAAAGGAATTGCTTCCAATAGAAATACAACAGTGAGCGTGCATACAGAGAGCCATGGGATATACCATTGTCTGTTTCTTGTTGTCTTCACCTCAACTCCATTGCAACTTTTTATGGCACATTTACCAAAACATGGCTGCTGTGATTTTTAATATATGATTAGAAAAAAAGGAAATAATAGGGATGAAGAATGAGAAAGATATTTAAAGGTAGTCATTTAAAAATGAATTACCAGGCTGGGTAGAGTGCTCAGTGTTAGAGTGCTTGCCTTGCATTCATAAGGTCCTGGGTTCTATTCCTCAGCACCACATAAGCAGAAAAAGCTGGAAGTAGAGCACTAACCTTGAGCTGAAGAGCTCAGGGACAACCCCCGGGCCCAGAGTTCAGGCCCCATGACCAGGAAAAACAAGTATAGATTATAACTCCTGCGATATGCATGGAACTTTGGGGATTATATAACTTTCTCTCTTCTGCAGCTCATCCAGACAATAAGTGCAGTAGACAAAGATGATCCCCTTGGCGGACAGAAATTTTTCTTCAGTTTAGCTGCTGTCAATCCAAACTTCACAGTACAGGATAACGAAGGTAAGCTTTAGAATTTACTCATTTGAATTAACAGGACCTTAACTGTAAATTCCCCCCAAAGTGACCAGTACAATGAACATATCAAGTTGCTGATGTGACTGAAAAAACTCGTTTTGACCACAGTTTTGGTTATGTATTTAGTGATAATTTCACAATAATAAGGTGTCTTTTGACAAGTCTTTAGGAAAAGATTGTACTATGAAATGAATAGAAGTAATAAGTTTATTAACAAGAAAAGCTAAGGTGTGTTGATATATAAATGACTCAATATGTTTTAAAGGCAACAGATTCACTAAAGCCATGTGTGCATGAAATAATTCAAAGACAATCCGAAGTAGTCAAATTCATTTTTAAAATTAAACTACAGCCTTTATTCATATCTCACTAGTTTTTATGTGCATTCTGTTTATTTCCTTTGGTGCTTAGTTCTGTGAAACATTATCACATGTGTGGATTTTTTTTATTGTGAAAATACTGCACAGAGGGGTTACAATTACATGGGCAAGATAATGAGTACATTTCTTATCAAGCATTGTAGCCTCCTCCATTGTTTCCTCTTCCCATCCCCCCCTCCCCCCTGCCCCTCCTCCCCCTCCCCACCACAGTTTTAAGTTTGTTTTCGACATAACGACTTGTACGTCTCATTGTTGCAATGGGTCCACCTGTATTCTTATTTAAAGGATTTTTTTTCTCCCTTCCCCTCCACAAATTATAATAACATCAAATACAGTGAAAGCAGGGGTTATACCGTGGGGGAGGGACATACAAAGCAACAAAGAAATAACCTTATAAATGTGTTAGAAACAATCGCATGAAAGAAAAAAAAAGCATTTGAATACATATCTTAGGGTTCATTTCCTTAACATCAACTTATCTGACCTTTTCTGCTTGATTCAGACATCTACTAGTTATTGCAAATAAGGGAAACCATGGGACCTATGTTTCTTTGGGCCTGGTTTCTTCACTTAATATAATTTTGTCCAGGTCTTTCCATTTCCTAACAAATGGGGCAATGTCATTCTTTCTGATGGAGGCATAAAATTCCATTGTGTATATATACTACATTTTCTTGACCCATTCATCTACTGAGGGGTATCTGGGTTGGTTCCAGATCTTAGCTGTAATAAATAATGCTGCAATAAACATAGTCATGCTGGTAGCTTTAGTGGAATCTTGTTTGTGAACATTTGGGTAAATGCCCTAAAGTGGGATTTCTGGGTCATAGGTGAGCTCTATGTGGAATCTTTTGAGGAATCTCCATACTGCTTTCCAAAGTGGTTGAACAAGTTTACACTCCCACCAACAATGCAGTAAGGTTCCCTTATGTCCACATCCCCTCCAGCATCTGTTGT